AATTGAGTGCAAATATTCTGTTATCATATCACTACATTATTTTACATGTGATAAGATGAATATTTTATGTTTGTGTATATTAAATTTTGTGGATAATTGTATATGAACACAAAGCGATCAAACTTCTTTTATATGTATACATGAAATATGTGCAAATACCCAAAATCACGGATAAAAAAATGGCCGACTAGAATTCCTATATTATCGACTATGACCGTCTTTTCAATTTTTATTTAGAAGTTAGTTTACGTGATATATTTATATTATTAAATAATGATAAATAACGTTTATTGATGAGTCATAACCGACGATGCAGGGATTCTTCATGATCGAAATCAGTTCGAAACTGTTGAGTTAAAAACTTTTTAAATCACACAAGTCAGTAACATTCGGTCCTTGCACACTACTAATGAATGTAAACGATAATGATAAGCAATAAGCAACTAAGATAATCGATTTGAAAATGACAGACATGTAAATATGCATACGCAGTTAGAGTACCAAATAAAACGTTAGAGAAATCATTATATGTATGCAGATAAATTTTCGTGTTGTACAATAGTTTTGTTATTGGCGTACAAACATGGCGATAGAACACCTAGATTACTATGCTGAGAGTGAATAATATAAAATTCCATGATCTTAGATACGTCTAGTTTAATGATGTTGTGATTTAATGACTTGAAATAATGAAGTAATTCTCTGTTAATTAAAGCAATTGTTATTATCAATAATAATTGCGTGTTCGAAGTTTTATAAATTAAAATTAGAATTTTATTTACAAGTACAATATTTATTTAAAAGTTCAAATAAAAACATTTTTATTTCTGTATAACAAAGTTCATGCTAAATTATGCATGTTTCAAGGAATTTTTGGAACATCTTACCTAAATATGCAATCTATTGCTGAAACTAGTTAACGCGTCCGACGTATATTTAAACGTCGTATTAAGCATTGTTTGTTAAAATGCAAATGCTTAGAATTTGTGTATATAACACACCGCCGTCATTGCT